GTATTTCTTGTTTCAACAGGGCCCAAAATCCCACATTTGGCCTCTGACTTGATAGATTCTAAAGTCATGACATCACAAACATAAATATGACCTTCACTAATGGTAAAACTAGCAACATACATATTTCCCCTCTAATAGAAGTTTCTGTTAGAAAGTCCAACCCAAATGCTTAAATTAATAAATGAAGGGAGACTACATGCATATAAGGCACATTGAAACCCTATAGATAAGCGATGTGGGTTACTTTAACACCCCTTTTACATGCAAACCAAACTGAGAATAACACGTAGAATTGACGAATGAGGAGCCTCACAAGCGAAATAAATTTTTTGTGGAAGTTGGTCCGTGATCTTGTTAGTAAGTTTAACTCAAAAGCTTAACCTGATGAGCGGAAGGAGATTTCATAGATGTAAGGCACATTGAAACCCCATAGGCAAGCGATGTAGGATATTTAACCAGTTCCAAATTAATTTAGATTTCTTTTCATCTAATTTTGGAGGTACTGAAAAATAACATGTGCATTCTAAATTTCATCACTTGGGGAAAATACAAGTGGTCGCAACATGTAATTTTCCCACAACAGCATACTCAAACGAGAGTGGCTTAAACAGAGGGACTAATGTCTTTACGATAGTAGTTCTTGAATGAACACGGAAGATCCCTCAATCGGGCAAAAATCCCCTTGAGATATTCTACTATTTAAATTTGTCTTTGGTCATGTGACCAAGTACATACTCGTAACATGCCAGTTCTTGCATAAAAAAGATAATTCTTAACTAGAACAAACAACAATAAGCTTATCTCAAGATCTGTACTCTATACCAATCCCAGTATACACCAATTCTACTATTGTTAATTCTTATCCTAAACTAAGATTTCTGGAAATGATTTCTTCCAGAAACGTTACAATCCTTTTTAAACATCAACTGCCCAAACTAATATCTCTCATGAATCAACTGTAATGAACAGGTCTATTTGCAACTGTTACCCAGCAACTTCTAATGTCATTTTCTGCACAGATTTAAAATTCAGAGAACGGCCTCCACTTACAATTGAAAATACTCTAATCTAGCTAGATCAACATTTATGTTTCAAGAATAAGGACTTATGTTACTCAACTTCCAGCTGGAAGACATTTGTGTTTCAATATAGGCATTATTAGCAAGGATATTTGGTTGTCTGATTCCAAATGCTAGAGCTGAACATTTCGAGTGATCAAAAAATCTTTCAGTCAAATCCTGATACTTTGACACTTAAGATTACATATCTTCAATAACTGAATTCAGATACGCATCCGCAACCAAAAATTCTACAATGAGTTTGGCCAGGTCCTCTCTTTGCACCTTCCTCCCTCCCTCCCAACTTTATTCCTTTCTCTATATCTTAAACTTCTTAAGGATTATCTTGTATTACAGTCAATATCTGTTCCTGTCTAATCAAGTGCAGAAAAATTTCCTTATATCTTTGACACATTTCCATCCATTGACTTGTCTGAACGCTCTTATTTCTAATATACCCATCTCTAACCAACTCATGATCCTGTGTGCTGCGCAAGGCTTACCTAAATATAATCTCGCTTTAATTTCCTAGCCTTTTGGTTCTCATTCTCACAAATCTTGTACATCCATTGCAAATAAACAATCTAAACTTTTATAAGCGGTGAATAGAGAACGGACCATGGATACGGACAACAATGCATTTCAAATGCTGGATTGAAAGTGAGTTCTCAAACTTAAAATCTCTTTGATTCTTTATTTTCGCTTTATACAGATCTTACACTAATAGTGATGCCCATAATATTTATTGACAAAAATATGAAAATGAAGATTGACTGAAGAATTCCCATCCCAATATATACATAAAGCAATGATTGCAGACCCAGAAGTATGGTCATAAAGGAAAGATATTTAGCAGTCGCCTTTTCTTCTAAGGTAAGTGTCCATGATGCAATAGCATTATTAAATCAGCCGGTGCTTCGACAGAAAGCACGTACCACAGTTCCCCCTCACATAGTAGCAGAAGCCATATCAACACTCCGTGGTCTAGGCCTTAGATGGTCAGGGCCAATCACCCAACAAAGATGCAATATGTTGAACAGTACCTGCTGATGAAGTATCCACAATATTGACTTGGTGAAGGAGAGCAAATAGATCTATCCACTCTTTGCATTAACAAGGAGCCATTTGAGCTCGTTCTTGATGATAAGAGGAAGTTGCAGAGGACTTCAGGGAACCATCCCTGCCGTCTTACAGAGGCAGTCACCCCGGTTCAGATGGCACCCAGCTAGAACCATCAAGATTGCTTGAGATCATCACTGCGAGATCCTCGTTCCCCGGGAGTTTGATCTCCATCCCTGAAATTCAAGCTCAAAATAAAGTTCTGAAATTCTGTGGACTGTACAGCAAAGAGTATCTTGTTCTCTTTACTCCAAGCTACAAAGATGCCATGATGTTGGTAGGTGAGAGCTATCCCTTTCTCTGGGGAAACTGCTCGAGACCATCGTCAAGACGATGGGCATTACGTAAAGGAATTCGCTACTTATGAAGAATCAAAGGTAACCTCTGCACCCCAGACTTGGTGGGATCTGCGGATCAAGGGATCACAGCTAATCCAATATTCCGCCCGAAAAAGTAAGCATTGCCGTAAGGGGGATATTCTCACACCCAGCAGATGTCAACAGGACACGATATTCCATGCACTAGATTACAGAAGCCCGTTGAAATTCATGGCATGTTCTTCTTGATTGCAACCGCATGGATTGTCGGAGAAGATTGCCCAAAACCCTCACTTCTCCCATCAGACTTTGTTTTGGGCAGTCTAGACAACAGGCATGCCTATCCTCCAAGAATTACTTGCCTTTTGGAGCGGAAAAAATATTTTGATGCAGCAATTATTTCCTACTCAAGCAAATGAAAGAGAGAGATAGTTCCATGCGGATGGATGTCTTCAAATTAATAAGAACAGCTCCACAAACGAGCTCCGGTATATAAATAAGTTTCCATGTTTAAACTCATAAGAAAAGTTTTCCATGATAAAAAATAACTAAAAATATGACCTTTTACTCACACCATACTTTAATAGATCAAAAAGTATCATGTTGGGTGCTATTTTTGAAAAGCTGTATTGGATCATCATCCTATGACCAGTGAAAACTTGATACACCTAGGTGAGTGGCTTTTCCCAATCTATTAAATCACCAGGCAAGTTTCTTCACTTTCTCCCCGCAAAACAGAAATTGGATGGTGCATTTAAAAAAGAAGATATATACATGTCCACATATAGAAAAAACTAAATAAATTATGTGTATGGAGCCTATAGTAGTTAACAGGATCTATTATAAAGAATCTCCCATGATTCTCTGCAACCGGATGGGTGAGATTTTAAAGAGACAGCTAAATAGTGCAAGCATAGTTTGCAGTGGGGTGGGTCAAAAGCTTAGAATTCTCTCTATCGAAGTGCAGCTACTGTTTGTGAAGCACCCGCCCCGAGTTCTGGTGAAAGCTATCCTTCTGGGGACCTCTCTTCTCTACCAATTTATGAAGCAAAATTCCAGAGTCAACATAACAATGCAACCTGGTTTGACAGTAGGATGATAGCACGTTTGTCGGTAATTAACCATGGTGGATCTTACAGCAGATAACAAGAACGGTCTAGAGTATGCGGAAAGAGAATGACAGTTTGTCGGAGGACATAGTCTCTTGGATATGGCATTGGATTTAGCAATGGCTTCCAATTTTTAGCTTTATCTTGACTTTGATTAAAGTTAGAAGTTGTGAAGTCTCATTACTTTCTAGCTTTTACTAAAAAAAATATTAAATAAACGAGAACATGCTACGATCCTATATTTGAATTTCAAATGAAAATCTCAAAATTTCAATATTATTTTCACCAAAAAGCCAAAAGTTAAGAGGAACAACCTTTGTCACTTCTGCTCCAAACTTAACAGACAACTTCTGACTAGCTTTTGATGCCAATCAACAAGTCAAGTTAGAAGGAGCAAAACAAAAATAGAAGCAAAAGTAGGGGGCTAAAATTCCCCTGAAACCCCCAAACAAGCACTAACACATTAAATTTACTTTCTTACCTCATAAAAATTCAGGATGAACCGGACTCTATGCTTTTGCCCGTTTTCTCTTTCTCCACAGCACTAAGAAGCTGTTGCATTGCTCAAGCATGTTGCATTACTAGCTAAGTTAATCTCAAACTAAGGAAACAAACGAAACCATCTCCTTTAAAAAATGAATCTATAATCTCACATTCCAAGTCAACCCTGGTAAGCTCTCATTCAGACAGCATTATCACATCTTAATGAGTTCCACAAAAGTCTTTAGGGTCTGTATGTCAACCTTATTGAACCAAAAACATCCTCGTTTGACCCCACAAAGTGGGTCAAAACCTGCTGCACAATCTTCAGAATTAGTCGCGGAATAGGAGAAAACATTATGGAAATTGATGGAAAAAGATGGTAGGGGAGGTCAGGATCTGGTACGGTGATACCTAGAAATGAACTTAAAACATTAAATAAAAAAAAACGCTCCACTAGGAACTCTTAATGGCATATTTTAACAGAAGAATGCAGGCAAAGAATCTCTGATTTATGACTTGCTAAACCGTAATTTATTAATGGAGCAAAATACTGTCGCCACCCTGTGCTGACTGCATGAAAGGTATTTCTGTAATGATCAAGTTTGACAAAAGTTCACAATGACCGAATGTAATGTAGCTGCAGCACATACATGATTAGTTATCTTTCTCATATATTTCTTGCTTCTTGCACAGGCACATTTTAAAAGGTTTGAATTATCTAAATCACCAGGGAAATGGACAGTGCAGCTTAAGAGAAAAGTGACTGCGCAACATTGTTTCCTCAGAAAGGCCACAGTCAAGTACATGTCTTACTTTGACCAAAAAAAAAAAGTACATTTCTTACAAGAAGTTCAAAAAAAAAAAATAGCCAGGCAAGCAAATAAAGATCTGAAGCATCAATATTACCAAATAACTTGAAAAACAAAACCTGACACAACTTTTATGTAAGTCCTATCATCTTAAGTATGCAGATACTTTGACAAAAAAAAGGTATGTAGATACATATAACTCTGCAAAATATTTAGCCCGGATGACTTAATACGCAGATCGTCCATCTCCCTCAGTAATCACATCTTTGAAAGACCCACCACTAGGGATCATGGGCAAAACATGCTCTTGATGGGGGACAATCACATCCAACAAGTATGGCCCAGGAGTATCTAACATCTTTTGGACAGCTGCTCTAAGATCTGCCTTTTTCGTCACACGAGATGCAGGTATTCCACAGGCTTCAGCAAATTTCAACATATTTGGAAATATATCAGACTCTCTAGATGGATTCCCTAGATATGTGTGAGCCCTGTTGGCTTTATAAAAGCGATCCTCCCATTGGACAACCATGCCCAGATGTTGATTGTTCAACAGCATTATCTTGATAGGCAGATTCTCCACTCTGACTGTCGCCAACTCCTGGACGTTCATTATGAAGCTTCCATCTCCATCAATGTCCACCACAACAGCATCGGGTTTTGCAACGGCAGCTCCAACCGCAGCAGGCAATCCAAAACCCATGGCCCCTAATCCACCGGACGTCAACCATTGGCGGGGCCTCTTGTACTTGTAAAATTGAGCAGCCCACATTTGGTGTTGCCCAACTCCAGTGCTTATAATAGCATTTCCATCAGTTAGCTCATCGAGAACTTGAATCGCATACTGAGGAGGGATAGCTTCCCCAAAAGTCTTATAAGTTAATGGATTACTCATTTTCTGCTCATCAAGTTCCATTCTCCAAGCTGAAAAATCAAGTTTGAGCTTCGATTTTCTAGTCTCCATAATGCTATTTATCCCTTTTAATGCCAGCTTCACATCTGCACATATTGACACATGAGGCTGCTTATTTTTCCCAATCTCTGCCGAATCGATATCGATGTGAATGATTTTAGCTCGGCTGGCAAAAGTTTCCAGCTTCCCTGTCACACGGTCATCAAACCTAACTCCAAACGCGAGCAGCAAATCACATTTATCAATAGCATAATTAGCATAAACAGTTCCATGCATTCCCAGCATTTGAAGGGACAGTTCATGTGAGCATGAGAATGCCCCGAGCCCCATCAAAGTACTAGCGACTGGAATCCCCGTGAGGTCCACAAACTTTCTCAATTCCTCGCTTGAATTCAAACATCCACCTCCCACATACAAAACCGGTTTCTTCGACTCCGATACCAACCTCACAATCTGTTCCAAATGGGCCTCCGAAGGTGACTTGGGCAATCTCGACATGTATCCGGGCAACGTTATGGGCACATCCCAATTAGGAATAACAAGCTGTTGCTGTATATCTTTAGGTATATCGATCAGGATAGGACCAGGTCTCCCCGAAGTCGCCAGGTAGAAAGCTTCATTCACAACTCTAGGAATATCTTCCACATCAAGGACAAGGTAATTGTGTTTCGTAATAGACCGCGTCACCTCAACAATCGGAGTCTCTTGAAATGCATCCGTTCCAATCATTCTTCGTGGCACCTACAAACACATTCACATACACACTCATCCATAACGCGGCGGTGCATCAGAGAAAGCGAGCGGAACTGAACAGAGTCGCATATTCAAAACACTGATTATTTAATACATATGCACTGCAAATGAAGCCAGAAAAAATTTAACAGCATCTATCATCCTAATGCTACCTAATAACTGGTCTACGGAAGGACATATATCTCCATACATACACCTCCTGCGCTCCGCTAGCATTCCTCCGGAACAAAAGAAGAGACAGAAAAGGAAAAAAGAGAATCGGACGGTCGAGCAGCAAAAACTCCTAAAGATACCTGGCCAGTGATGGCGATGAGGGGGATGCTGTCTAGCATGGCGTCGGCGAGTCCACTGACCAGATTGGTGGCGCCGGGGCCGGAGGTGGCGATGCAAACGCCGGGGAGGCCGGAGGCGCGCGCGTATCCCTCCGCGGCGAAAACGCCCCCCTGCTCGTGGCGGGGGAGCACGTTCCTGATGACGCGAGACCGGGTGAGGGCCTGGTGGATCTCCAAGGAGGCGCCGCCCGGGTAGGCGAAGACGTCGGAGACGCCCTGGCGCTCGAGGGCCTCGACGAGGACATCGGCGCCCTTGCGAGGCTCGTCGGGGGCGAATCTGGAGACGAACGTTTCGGGGGCCGCTACGGTCGGGGTTGGCGGCGACGGCGGCGCGGAGGGGGTTTTGGCGGCGGCGCAGGGAATGCGAGATGGGGAAGGAGAGCCGGAGGAGACGCGGAGGAGGGAGGCGGGGGGCTTGGCGGGATTGGGAGGCACGCGGAGGGTAAATCGGTCCAGGGGAGTCTGGGATTTGGAGGGAAAAGAGGAGGCGGAGGTTCTGGCGGCGGAGGAGGGGGTTGAAGTGGCGGCGGCGGCCATGGCTCGAGATCGCGCGAGGGAGAGAGAGAGGGGACAAATGGGCGTGTTGCAGGTGCGGAGGAATGTGCAGCTGAGTTTGAGCGAGGCTGAGAGGAGGACCCGTCGTCCGGGGGTGGAGAGATGGATTTACCAGAATGTCCCCCTTCGTGTTTTGCTCCACGACAAATGGGGGGGATGTACTGGGGAGAAAATTGGAATAGAAGAAAGGGGCAGAGGAAGAGTCAAAGAGAATCTCTCTTTCGGTGATTTTTGGATATTGGATCTCCCAATTATTTTTTAGGGATAATGACATAAATAGTCTCCAAACTTTAACTTAATATTTAATTGGATTCATAGATTTTTAATTTATTCAATGTGGTCCTTAAATTTTTTATACATGTTCAATTTAATTCCTAAACTATATAAAAATGTACAACATAGTCTCTGAACTTGAATTAATGAAAGGACTACATTTAACATTTTTATAAAACTCAGGGACTAAATTGAACATGTGTCAAAATTTCATGAACCACATTAAACAAATTAAAAGTTTAGGGACCACATTGAACATTAGGTTAAAGTTTAGGGACTACATTGAACAAATTAAAAGTTTAGGGATCAAATTGTATATTGAGTCAAAGTTCAGGGACTGTTTATATCATTTTCCTTTATTTTTGAGAGATAAATCATTTTTCCTTATTTTTGAATAAATATATTACGGAACTGGAAAGTTGAAAAGGTGAAAGAAAAAGGATTTATTCATATGAAGTGTAATCGTTTTCATTTTAGTACGAAGAAAATAAATCACTGCTAAAAAAGTTGGAAGAACCTTATAATTTCTAAATGTTTTCTTATTTGCGTTGTTGTGGCTCATTCGGTTTGATTTGTTTTGATCAACTAATTATACATAGATTTCCTACTAAAACTATAAGAAACATATTCTAAATTAAAAGATGACTATGAAAAATACTTCAGTGACTTGCATGGAGACGTTTTGCTATCCCAGTGATTCAATGTTAATTAAAAATCATATGTCAGATGCTAAAATGTAAAAAAATTCAAAAATTAGAGAAATGGTCACTGTGGACCCTCGATAGAAATTCATTACAAAATACGATTTCATTGTTATTATTAATTCTCTATTTACGTTCTTTAAGATGAATTAATGAATTTGGGGCAAAAGGAGGACCAAATAACAATATATCGAAACCATTCTTTACGTGGATTTCATATAGAGACACGTGAATTATTAACATATACCTCAAAACAAATTGCTTCGTCTAATTTCATCAAAGTTAAATAAATTTGATTAAAAAAAAGTATTTGAAGAAATCAATTCGAATGAATATAATCTCGTCCTCCTGTTGTTCCGTAAAAGAGATGGCACACAAGTCGCCGAGGAGAAGCACTAGGCGTTTGTGCAAGGCGACCGAAACAAGTTCAAAGCAAGGAGGATTTCCAAAATATACATACGGATCTTATAAAAAGAGTAATTCTTAAATCACTCTTTACATTTTTCTTGTGATATAATAATCAATATCTTAATAAATTAAACTCTATTTCTGTTATGTGTGTGCCTTCCAATTCAAACACTTTTCTTTCCGCCAAACACTTTAAACACCCCCAAAGGGAGGTATGAGGATGGGAAGCAACCACAGTCCCCATCGCCATCCAGACACTTCAAATCAAATTTGAGTAGGCTAAGTAGGATCCGTCCTCCCTTTCAAACTTAAATTTCCATCGACTAGTTCTATAAAGAAATTGAGGATGCAATGTCAAAACTACGAAAATTCGTTGGTTATGATGAAAACGAACTTAAAACACTCAAAAATATGCAGTATTGAGTATAAACTACAAAGATAATGGGGAAAAACAAAGGGCCTCCTAAGCTCAAACAACACTGATGTCCAGTCCAATCAAACTAATAATGCTCTGGGCAAACCGCCTCATATTCCCATGAATCCACTTTCTTGATGGCCTGCAAAAGAACGCGATCCAATTTTCATTCGAGAAGAGAACTAGAAAAATCACAAGACACTGTACAAAATTGAAAAGAAATTTCATATATGCCAAATGGTGCAGACAGATTTAATTGAATTATAAAAGACATCTTCCATAGGTTCATCAATAGGGACAATACATTGCAGTAGAACCTCACATACCAAGAATTAAAGAGAAACCCAATGATTACTAAATGCAAAGACATCTTAATCAAGGAAGCAGAATTGGGAAGGCAGACCAATTAGATTCAAGTTAACGAAAACTAAACTGTATTCACTATAACTTTTAAAGACATTCAAATCGAGCTATCTCATCTTTTCATTCAATTGTCCCATTCTCAAAGATACCATGTACTTTCCATGGCAAAGATATCTGACAACAAAATGCCGCTAAACAGCTCTCTCCATCTATGACTAAAGAATTCTGAATATTTCTCAAGTTTCACTTTATTATGTAATTTTTCATTTAGATGTAAAGCAGAGCTAATAATTTGCAAACATTTAAAACTTAGTAGCGATCTGATGAAACTTTTTGTAAGTAGGCAATTCATAATTCCACTAAGTACATATAGATCCTCTCATAAATGCCAAATTAGATCGAACACCTATCTAAACATATAGAACACACCACAAAAACTTATTCAGCAAACTAAGCGACTCTTATACATCAGCAAGTGATAGTGTCATACCCCATTGATAGAGCAATAAAAACCATCACACGACAGCCAAACACATGAATAAAGTGATGGAGATGTACTCATTTTTTGGATAAAAAAACGATTGGCTGACAGCAGCATGCCTTAAATAAGTCCACCAGCATTAGAAAATAGTATCAAGATTAAATTGGATGGAAAACACTAGTTGGATGATGTGATAGGATCATGACATGACACAATGGTTATAAATCTAACACTCAATTTACGACAATGGAGGCTTTACTCCATATTTTCGAAACCAGACCGATCCATGCATGGCAACCACTGGGTTAATGGCCATTTGCATGTTACTCATGGCTGCAGAAGTATTAAGCTAGAGGTTCATATATTGCCTGAACCTGAAGCATTTTCCATTAAGTGAGTGCCTCCTCTTTAAATAATTTAACTGTTGACAATGAATGTGCACTACGCACATGGGTAAATGGCATGTGCCTACAAACTAAAGGGGAAAAAACCCTCATTTGAACCTCAAATAACCGCAAGTCTATAGCCTTTTTCACCTTTCCTCATCTATCTGCTCAGTTGACCAGTTTGACATGGTCCAACCCCTATTTTGTTCAGTTTTGAACCACTGACAGTCAATGGACTGGACCTCATCCAGTTCAACCTGTTGAACAGGATGTCTGGTCCAATTATCAGAACATTGGTTTCAGTTAGACCTCAAGGAAAGAATGAAGATGCTATTCAGAGCTTCCTACCGCTAACGATCTTCATCCAGCAGAATTTCCTACTGAAATGTTGACATCGTCATCTATTTTCCTCAAAGAGATTTACTATCCATACTTGCAAGTTGCAGCAGTTAATTCCTGTTGGGTCTCAAATAAATCTATAAGAGAAAAATCGTTTCCATGGAATCAGAAATAACGAAACTAACGTCTAAACTGTCAATTTCCCTTGGAATCAGTAGTTATCAGCAGTTCTTATTGCATAAATCTCATCCATGGATGGTAGTCCAGCTAAAAATCCGCTTGGATAAATAAACTAAGACGCAAACAGTGTTCAACAACTCCTTTCATGGCCTATGCAACCTCAGAACAAAGTCGTACCAACGAGGATCATAAACTGATCCACGAACCTAATCAAAATTTTCAATGCTACGAGAGATTTACCGGAGAGCAGACACGGCCCGAATTCAATTCACTACAGAGCTTCTAACCAAATCCCCACCAACAAATTACAGGTCCTTATAAGAAATTATCCACGAAACAATCCACGATCGAACCGCAGGAGGCAAAATCCACCGACCACTAAAAACCAATCCACAGATCCAGGCAAAAAACCTACCTAATTAGAACCGACGATGATGTTGTTGATCGGAATGAAGATCAGCTTGACGAAGAACCCCACAAATCCCATCACCACGAAGCCGATCGCGGTGCGGAACGCCACCTTCGTGAACTCTGCATCCACGAAATCGCCATTACACAGGACACAAAAAATCGCGACCAGAACCCCAGCGCTCACGCCAGATCTGCAAAAGATCGCGCGGCCGAAACCCGAGAAATTCCGACACGGGACGAAGGTACGAGGAGGGCGGCGGTCTCGGGGGGTTTACCTTTGCGGTCGGGCTTGTGGCATCGCTTCACGAGGCGGACGCTGTCCTTGGCGAACTCTCTCAAGGGATCGATGGCGGAATCGATGGCATCCATCGCCCAAATCTCGCGCTCGAAACCCTAGAAACCGAAGAGACGATTCGCAACGGAAGGGACAGAGGAAACTCGGGGATTGGAGTCGAGAGAATGATCCGTCTTATATATATAGATCTGGACTCTGACTTTTTCTTTGTCCTCCGTGACGCGATATCTGGACGCTTATATAAACGTATTAGGTTTCCCGTCATTTCATTTTCATGATCATTTTTAAGAAATTATTTTTTATATTTTCTATTTTTCGAAAAATAAACGAAGCATGATATTAAGTTTTTTTTTTCTCTCCAAAATCTCGATGAAAAATGCCAACTCGTATCGCCTTCAAGGTATTGATATTGCTATGTATTTGATCACAAGATTTAATAGTACAATCGTGTCTTACTCCATTCATATTTAATGTTGTGTCATAAATTTTGAAAAAAAAAACATTTTTTAAAATTGCGACGGAGTGAAATTTTGATTTCTTCTTTTTCACTTTATTGTAAATAAATGAAACAACCAAATACCTTAAAAAATTTCGTGCATCATCTATGATTTCATGATTTGTCAGTTTATCCTCTTAAAATCTTAGAACCAGCTGGGCATCAAGCAAATTTATTCTATTTGATGAATAGCCCATTTAGATTTGAGAAAAAGTCATAAAAAAAAATCTCAAATTATGCTCACCATATACATTTATCATAAACTTTTTTTGGGATTTTATAAATTCAAAACTTGTACCCGTGTGACGCATTTGCCTAAACTATTATATGTGACGCCAAAAATTCAAAACTTGTACTCGTACGATACATTTACCCTTCGTTAAAATTTCATTAACAAACGTTGCTGAAAATACGCAGCTACCTACGTGGACAACATAAGTGAGAAAAATATGTCAGCTCATTGTATGCTTTTTTCTCGTTTTCGTTTTCCTTTTTTTTTTTAACTTCATCATTCTTTTTCTTCCTTGGTTTGGTGACAGTGAGGACGGTGACGATGGCCATGGTAAGGATGACGGTGGTGAGGGCGGCGATAAAGACGAAAGAGGAAGGAAAAAAAGAAAAAGGAAAAAACATTCTTGATGGAGGGTAAACATGTGGCGTAAGTTTAAGTTTGAGATTTTTTGTGCCATTAAAAAATTTTAGGGTAAATATGTCACATGAATATAAATTTTGGATTTTTTGTGTTGCAAATAAAGTTTGAAGTAAATGTGTCACAAGGGTACAAATTTGTAGTAAATTTGTTGCACACAAGTTTGAGGTTACAAAAAAAAACTCGGGGTAAATGCGTCACAATTGACATAATTGAAAATTTGTGGTCGCTTGATCATTTAGATTTAAGTCGAGGAATGTTTTATTTTTTATCAAAAGAAAATGAAAGAACGTTTGGATTAATCCTTAAGAAGTCGATGAGTCAGATATTGGGCCGTGAATGGGGCCTCCGTCCAATTGATCTTTCCGGCCCAAGCCCATCCATCCAAGAATGTTATGCTTTGGACCAGTATTAAAGCCTGACACCGAGCCAACAAAGCTAAAGAATAGGGCCGCACTTGGTAACCTGGTCAAATAGGGTGCGAATGGTAACATTCTGCTCCGAAATCAAATTTTCTGAAATTGATTTCTGGAATTCTTGCCGAAATTGATTTCGAAGGAGAAATCGTTTGGTAAACATGACTAATTCGCTCTAGAAATTGATTTGAACAGAACTGCTTTTTGATTTGTTGATTTTTTTGCACCTAAAAAATTTAAATTTTACTCAAAGTGGGTGGCCACATGTATTATAAGCCATTATGTAAAGTTTTGAAATTTTTGATTTTTTAATTGTTTTTTGGCACCTAAAAAATTTAAATTTCACTCAAAGTGGATGGCCAGGTATTCTAAGTCATTTTGTGAAGTTTTGAATTTTTTTATTTTTTGGGCACCTCAAAAATTTAAATTTTACTCAAAGTGGGTGGCTGAGATATTCTAAGCCATTCGTGAAGTTTTGAAATTTTTATTTATTTTTAATTTTTTGGGCACCTCAAAAAATTGAATTTCACTCAAAATGGGTCATGGGTATTTTAAGTCATTTTGTGAAGTTTTGAAAATTTTTATTTTTATTTTATTTTATTTTTTTGCACCTCAAAAATTAAAATTTCACTCAAAGTAGGTGGCGCGGTATTTTAAGCCATTTTGTGAAGTTTTGAAATTTTTGATTTTTTGGGCACCTCAAAAAATTTAAATTTCACTCAAAGTGGGTGGCCACATGTGTTTTAAGCTATTGTGAAGTTTTGAAATTTTTGATTTTTGATTTTATTTTTTAAAAAAAATTCACCAAATTTCATATTTTCCCGAAATCTGACTTTTTTTATTTTCTGGAAATTTTATGAATTTTTCTAGAATTTTTCAATTTTTATGCATTTTAAAAAAAATTGTGAGAAAATAGAGAGAATATATTCTAATCAAGAAGCTACAAAAACTAGCTTCTTTTTTGGCCCAAACACATTACGAAGCAAAACTCATTCTGGAACCAAAAAAGAATGTATTTTTACCAAATGCGTTTTTGCCTGGAATGCAAAAATTCCTCCGGAATGCATTCGAAATTTTTTAACAAACGCATTTTTGGAATGCACTGAGCAGTAAATTTTGCTCGAAATGCATTCCTGGAGCGTAAATTTTGCTCGAATGGATTCCATGCGCGCCCATAGTAATCGATTCTATTCTTTTGTTCCCAAAATCAGTTTTAGAATAGAAATTTGTTTGGTAAATTTTTTGTTCCCGACACAAATTTGCACAAATTTGTTCCCAAAATCCGTTTTGGAACAGAATTAAGAAGCAAAAAACAATTGATTCTCGATTCTGGGAACAAGAATCAGAAATGGAAAAGAAATTTATTTTTTCTTCTTCTTCTTGGTTTTCCTCCTTCTTCCTGGCATTTGGCCGACCACCAGCCACTAGTGACTGGTCATAGGCCAGGGTCAACGAGGGTGAGGGCTGGACCCTCACCGCTTGGGTGAGGCCCGCCCTCGTTGGATCTAAAGTGGGCGATCCTCGCTGCCGCCGCCCTCGCCAGATCCGGCAAGGGCGGCTAGCGGCCTGGGCGAGGGCACGGCGAGGGTCCAGCCCTCGCCCAAGCCACGAGCTGCCCTCGCCGGCCTTGGGGTGTGGCCGGTTGCCGGCGCCGGTAACCTGGCCATGGCCAAGGAAGGGGAAAAAGAAGAAAAAAAGAAAGAAAGAAATATTAAAAATTCAAAATATTATTAATAAAAAGAAATTTTGTGCAATTACAAAACGCATTTATGTTCTTTTTCTATTTCAATAATAGAAATTTTGGGCATTTACCAGATGCCTTCAAATACTTAGAAATTGTTCCCGGGTACGGAATAAAAAAAATCATTTCTAAATAGAAATTATTTTTGGGAACAAAATGGTTACCAAACACACCCTAGAAAACCAGCTTGAAAGGTTAATGAAAGAGCCCGCTAGCATACTAATGGCCGTCATGTTCTAAAAGAAACACTTTTATTAATTTACTGTGAGAATAACAGTCTTTTCTGGCTACAAAAAACAAAAAAATAATTAATTATAAATCATTGTAGGGTTCTCTTCTTCAAGAATTTGTGGCTCACAACATGCTATTACTCTCATAGTAGCCCAAAAACTGTTATGTTAGTAAAACCAGTTTTAAAATGACAATCACATGTTCGCCACAAATTCTGCTACAAGAGAACGGAAAACAGGCTTGGAATGCTAACGAAACTTAAGGGTGCGTTTGTTTCACCGAAAACTTTACGATAGCCTCTCTTTATTTCATGGAAAATGTGACATTTCTAAGAAGTCATTTTTCAAGAAAATAATAATATTTTTCAATATTTGGCTGAAATACAAAAATATATTAGAAGATATTTTCCATCGTTTGGTATGAAAAATCTAATTTGATTTTTCAAAATAAACATACATTATTTGAGCACTGGTAGCTTGAGCATGAGCAGCCAAAAACCAAGTACGAGCACTAGAGTCTCAGGTCTAGTCTTGATGGACCTCGACTCAGGCATTGGTAATGGGGGCACGGGCACCTGGGTCTCGAGCTCGGCCTCGATCGACCCTAATGTAGGCACTAGGGTCCTGGACCCAACCTCAATGAACTTGGGCACAACCATTGTTTACCTAGACTCGCATGTTGGGGATTCCAGCTCAAATACTAAGATCTTGCGCTTGGCATTTGTGGATCCAAACCCATGTGCCGCGGCATTGGGCATGGGCATCGAGGTCCCGAGCCTCGTCTCGATGGACCCCGGCTTGGGTGCTAGAGACCTAGTCTTGGACACTGGGAACCCAAAAACTAGTGTTGGGGTTTCGCGCTCAAATGTAGAGTTTCGGGTTCAAGCGATGATACCTAGTTATATTTTGGAAAACGATTTCCAATATTTTAAAGAGGAAATCATTTCCCTTAATTTAAGCATAGGTTTTCCATTGACTTATTTTTCTAAGCGAACCAAATGCTAGAAAATGAGAAAAATGTTGTCTAACAAAAAATGGAGCCATAAAGGAAAATATTTTCCGTGAAAATCATTTTCAAGGAAAATGGTTAGCTTTTATTTATTTGGTGGTTTTGGGAATATGATTTCCTTTTTGCTAGAAAGGAAAATTTCTCCCACAATCTAAGCTTACTGTTTTCGGTTCACGAAAAACATTTTCCGTACATCGATTAGTTCTTCGTCATCTAAACATGGAAAAGTTAGTAAACAATTTCCCGGAAAACTGACAAACCGTGAAACTACATCGGGATCTCTATAAAAATGATTTATAAAAACAAGAAATAAGGGGAAATGTCAAATAAGGATATGAAGTGAGGCAATGTTCTCAAAAGATAGATTATAATAGACTTTGTCTCAAATAAGAGCTTGAAGTGGCTAACTTATTCTCAAATAATGGTCTAAGCTTACTTGCCGACCAAATCTTATATATAGCGAGAGGTATTTTCGTCCAAGGGTATTTAAAAAAAAAATTTCTTTTATTATCTTTTTTTTAATTTCCCTTTCTTTTTCTTTTTTCTTTCTTTGTCTTCTGTAGATCTTCTCCTCTAAAGTACCTTTCTCTCTCCACGCGGACGTCACCATCGACGCCCTCAACCTCATGCACCTCGACC